ACTAAATGTAGAACGGTAACATATTGGTCATTATTTTTTTTATTTTTTATTTTTTTATTTGTTATTAACATAGAAGTAGAAAAACAAGCATAATGTGCATCTGTGCTTGAACTAGGTGATAAAACCTGTATTTCAAGCAGCAGTGCTCCTCGTACAAAAAATACAACAGCTTTACTTCTGATACACAGAAGCAGAAAGTTAATAGACAAGAAATACACTAAAATTCATGGTTTACATGAAAGTGACAAAATGTAAGCTTGAAAATATAAAAATTAACAAAAAAAATATTGAAATGAATGTATTAATGTAATGTGTGTGTGTAATGAGTCTGAGCATGAGTGAGTGTAAGAGGGTGTGTGAAGTCAAAAACATTAAAAGTTATTTAACAAATTTTCAGTGTCCTCATAGTTGAAATTAAGCAACCAATTAAATATAGAAGTTCTGCATTTCTTACTACTATTGATTAATTATGAACAATGTTGGATTAGAAAAAGAAACTTATAAGTACATATAAGAAAGTTTGTATGTTTGTTACTCAACTAAACAAAAAATCTGAATGAATAGAGTATTTATAATCCCCTGATTAATACATAGAGTAACATTTATCATATCAAATGACATGACCAGACAACGCCGGATGTATCCGTTATAATAAGCACGATAGTGTCTTCGATTTTTCATGATTACGAACCAGCGCAAGTGAAAATCGCATATCGAAATATATAAATATGAAAATGCGTATTCCAATTTCTAAGATTTTTCCTCAAAATGTTTGTACATTTCTGAGTATCTCAATGAGTTTTGCGATAACTTTACAGTTTACTTTACAGTGAAGATTAAAATACCCGTAAAATATAATCAAAACATAATCCTCGTGTCAAGTAGGTGGCGATATTCATGTTGTATGTATATCTTATGGACTCAGAAATCACATAAGATCAGACGGTCTATATTATTTTGCACATCGCAATATAGAAAAAGTTGACATTTGATAGGCGAAACTTAACTCATTTTTAAAGGAACTTACTACCTCGATACCGACTGGAATGCTTTTAAAATAAAAACCTTTCAAGATTATGGATATAAAACTACGAATAACGGATATAGGTACCGTCAACACTTTGAAAGTACCACCACACACCCTTTCCATAAACAATTTGGTGCACTTAGAAGCGGAACCCATGCCCATACGGTATTCCAAAAATAGCTAGCGCTACTTTTGGAAAGCATGTTAAGTATTATCGTTCCGAATTGTTCTCGAACAGTTCTTGTTCTTAAAACAAACGTTTCCTTCATTGTGATTTGTTACAGCTATGAAAAGGATTGTAAACAGAAAGTCTGACTGATAAACTATTAATTACGAAGTAGGTTTTCAAGTGAATTTCAATCAAGCGTTTTCGCTCACCACCGAATGAACGGCTACTGGTTTCTATTATAAAGACGCCATTATGAATTTCACTGACCGTTTTGAAGATCCAATTGTATTCCAATAAGTCTTTCCTGCCCTTAAAACCGGAACGAATGATAGCCTACGAATGAATGAATAACGATTTAGAAACAGGCAGGATTTTTTTGGTGGTACTACAGCTTAAACGCTGAGTTTTATAATTGTGACCATAAAATATTTATAGACTTGTATTTCGAAATAGTATTTTTTTTATTATACGTATAGGAAGTCGTCGTTATTAATTAAGTTTATAACAGCTTGAGTTCCGTCCTGTAACATTTTAAATAGTGGACGACGATACGCCCGTTGGAGTTCTCGTCCGAAAACCGGAAACCGGAGCGCGGTACCGTTATTATCATGAAATTAGAAAACTGGTTTGCTGTACCGACTTTATACTAATAGTTTACATATTAAATGCAAGAATTTGCAAACCTAATGATATTCAAGTTCACATTACCATTGATAGTACAAAAAAGAAAATGACATAAATCGACTATGTACCTTACTTCACTTTTAAGTAACTTTAGGTTTTAGTCTTTGAAATAAACAAAAAAATGTAACTTAAAAATCGATGTACTTCGTTGAAAAAACATTTAACGAAGAAGACAATGCCAGGGCGACTACATACCGATATGGAGATTGTATTACTTAAGAAATTGTTCAACTCAACCGATCTTCTAGAGTGAGTTCACGTCTATTACTTGAAGCTACTGCGTTTACCCATAATGCAAGAATAAAGAAAATTAAGAGAAGATACCTACATCTGACTCTGAAATAATCTCCCCACTTCAGTGTTCCACAATCGCTATGTTCTTTTTCAGACGAATTTCTGAAACAGTTTTTCTCGGTAAACAGCGGTTTGGCTACGCCACTGGTATTGTCTACTTGCATTTGACAACCTAACTTTTTAGCACGTGTGTCAAATGATCAAGCAATCGAAGACGTTAAAGAACTTACTAACAATATCTACCTAGTCAGGTCATAAATTCTGTCACATGTTTAATGTAAAATAATTGAAACAAGTTTATTCATTATGTAACTATTCATATACCAAAATGAACTTAACAAAACATAGATTCTTATGACACTAAAAGTTATTCAAAATGACCTCCGTGATTTTGAATATAGGCCTTCAATCTGCGCGGCCAGTCGTCTATCGCAGTACGAACGAGGTCTATGTTAATATCGGCGGCTGCCTTAATCAAGGATGTCTTGAGTGACTCCAAATTGGGATGAGGCTTTGAGCACGTCTTTTCCTCCAAGTGTTGCCATATCTTGTAATCTAACGGATTCAAATCTGGACTGGAGGAGGGCCAGTCTTCGTGCCGGATGAAGTCGATTTCACGCGCCGCCAGCAAGACTTGTGTGCTCTTCGCTCTATGAGCTGGCGCCGAATCTTGTTGGAATACCCAGTGCCTGTTATTGAACATGGTATGAGAAACAGGTTCCACAAGGTTCGTCAGGACTGTATTTTGATACACAACTGCATTCGTTTTTACACCTTTCTCACAAAAATGTACCTCTGTTAAGCCCCAATAAGAAACTCCCAACTGTAATGTGCTCTGCGTCAACCCTGTCCCGCCGTTTCAATAGCCCCGACTGGGCTCCGGCCCGGTCCGAGGTAGGGCGCCGGTCGTGAGCGGCAGGAGTTTTTAGTGAGGTTCAACTCCCACATACCCCACCTGCCGCGCGGGTGGGGATCCGGCGATTTTCTCCTGTGGAAAAAAAAAAAAAAAACCATACCATCAGCGAGGATGGAAAATGACCTCGTTGGACACGCGGAATACGGTTGCTCGCTTCTTCACTACTGTTTGCGCACACCTTATCATTTTGTTTGTTGCAGCTCTCTTCTACGGTAAAAAATTTTTCATCCGTAAAAGAATTTCCCGATTTTTTTTTCCCGCGTACCGCTTCAACAAAGCGCGGCATCTCTTCAGTCTCAGGTCCATTAGACGAGCATTCAAACGATGTCCTGTTTTTCTTCGATATGCCCGAAGCCCTAAGTTTTCATTTAACACTCTTTTCACCGTGGTTCTGCTTAACCCCATCTGAAAGGCCAACAGTTTCTGTTATGAAGTACTATGTGCTGCGAAATTTAGGATCATTGGCATACTGGTATTCTTTAATAAAAAATCAATTGTGCACTGACACAAGTGCTTCATTTCCAATTGATATCAATGAAGCAAATCAACGACAACAACATCTGTCGTTGTCTTTGAATTCGCCGAATCCTGGAATTATTTTTATTGTCATTACCTACACAGGTGAATGAGCTCGCGGCCTATCTGATGTTAAGTGATTACTGGAACTCATGGACATTCCAGTGGGAATGCCATCACCAACCTTGAAACATGCGATCTAAGCCTAAATCGCATGTGCAACGGTTGACCTTCAAACCAATATCCATAACTGCTTCGTTGCAGAAATGAGTGGGGGTTTACAATTGTAATGGTTTAATAATTTATATATTTATATTGTACCACCAGTATAAGATATGTTTTCATTTCCAGTACAAAAACACTACTCGTACTATTGTTCGAAAATGTATGCCCAGACTAACTCACACAATATCATAATATTCAATGATGCCATATTTTTTCTTTTTTTATATTACAAAACCAATATACATATGCTATATGGGTGAGCTATTTGCGCGTATGTATTTTCCAAAACTCGGTCTTAAGTTCTAAATCGAATATATGACCGTTGACATGTAGGAGACTTTTCGCGCTTGGAATCGGCGCTTTTCGCAAGTGAAAATGCAACAACGTTTTCGTAGTTTTGGTGTATTTAAAATTGGTTTGTGCGACCTTGTTCTCATACGCCGCTTACATTGTTTTATTAAACATCTCGAAACGTGGTATAATCGCAGAGATTTGTACGAGGACCGTATTGTTTACGTGTCCGTGTTCCATTTTTATACCTACTTGCGACCTTAAGCTCGCCTTATTATATTTTAATCAATTACAAAAATGTTTTTTTTTTATTGCTTAGATGGGTGGACGAGCTCACAGCCCACCTGGTGTTAAGTGGTTACTAGAGCCCATAGACATCTACGACGTAAATGTACCACCCACCTTGAGATATAAGTTCTAAGGTCTCAAGTATAGTTACAACGGCTGCCCCACCCTTCAAACCGAAACGCATTAGTGTTTCACGGCAGAAATAGGCAGGGTGGTTGTACCTACCCGTGCGGACTCACAAGAGGTCCTACCACCAGTAGAATATTCCTCATCTTTGGTTCAAAGCAAGTGTGATATAGAACCGATTTTTGGTGTAATATTTTGGAAGGACAATGTTGAAATGTTTGACGTACATACGTGTAAACGAGTTTGGTACACGTGATATTTCGTTTCATTATACTGTTTACTATTAAACAAACAAACATATCGTCATTTATGAAATATTTACAAAAGTTGTGTCGTAATTTGTGTGTGTTTCAAATGTATGGAACGACTTTCTATCGACATCCATATTATGCAATTGATTGTTTCGTGTAGTCGAAAATGTGGATGAAAATAATAAATTACAAAAACGTTTATTTTTTTTCTAGACATTCCGGATATACCTGAGGACATCAAGAAGCTGCGTGCCCTCCAGATCGCGGACTTCAGCAGCAATCCTATACCAAGGCTGCCGGCCGGCTTCAGTCAACTTCGGGCCCTTACGGTCCTCGGCCTCAATGATATGTCTCTTACTAGTTTACCCAACGATTTCGGCAGGTGAGCTATTTCAAGCTTTATCTAGGTCAAATAATAACCTGTTGCCGCCGTAAAGATCCAGATGTGGATATACGGCGATAAGGCGATATTTGGTTGTACATATGTATGAATATCAATAGCTATTGAACAAGAATTATAGTAAGGTGTCCCAAGAAATAAGGAAATTCGAGTAATATTTTTTTTCTTTCTTTAGTATATTTATTGTACATCTCTTAACTGTACTCTATTGCATATATGAAATTGTAGAAGTTTGCCACGTAAAATTACCAGAAATAATGTGTTCAGATTTTTTTCTTTTAGTTGTGATACTTTGTCTGTATCTGAAAACAAATTACTATATTTATATTTAATATAAAGTTAGTAAAGTATATTCAAGTTTTAAGAATTTACTACGTGCGTTTACGTGATACTAGCGTACGTGATATTACCTGAATCGCGCTTTTAAATTACGTGGTTCTGATATAATAATGCAATCGTACCAAAAAATCAATATTTGGGTACACATAGTACAACAGTCGGATAGAATATTAAAATGCTCTTGCGAAGATAGTCAGAAGATAAACATTAAACATACTTTGCCTTATTAATATCCGATCCAATTATGGAAGCCATTTTCCTTAGCGTTAGATTTCAATGTGCATGCAATATTATAGTGTTATTAGCTACGGTGGTATTCAATTTACTTCTGTAAATCGAGTTTTCGCCTACACAATAATTTAAATCAAATCTTCATAACACTATGTGAACTATGATTCATATTATAAATGAAATAAATCGAGCAGCCTCTATTGAATAACAATATATAACAAAAAAAATAGAGTACACTAGCGACCCGCCCTCGCTTCGCTTCGGAAACTGTAATTTATTATTGATTTTTCTACTATTTAATGGATGTTATTATACATATAAACCTTCCTCTTCAATCACTCTATTAAAAAAAACCCGCATCAAAATCCATTGTGTAGTTTTAAAGATTTAAGCATACATAGGGACAGAGAAAGCGACTTTGTTTTATACTATGTAGCGATAATACGAAATTAAATGTTCGACATTAATAACTCAACCTTTTAACGCATGGCTGAAATATAGTTTTAAATAGCATATTTTAATACGTTTTAAATTCGGGAACGTTATATGACCATTTGGTACATGTAAAATGAATGAATATGGTCTGATTAAAATACATAACGCACCGATGAATGTCCCTTAACTCGTAGCCAATATCCCTTTTTGGGTCGGCCGCTTTGTTAATAATTAACCAACCGTAAAAAATATTTTTGAACATTGTCTCGTAAATAGTCTAAATCATTACACGCCTAATAAGTAACAAGAAGATTGCACGTTATAGCGCACAGCAAAAAATGAAACAGGTTTTTGTTTGTATAAAATTCATAATTTTTATTGAGAATTAAAATTATGAGACGACTACAGATGAAACATCAAACAATAAGCTTAATCATACTCGCAATTCGAAAAATAAAATTTGTTGTCAAATAAAATACGCAACGTCTCCTTAATGAAATTCGTTGTCTTAGTTATAAATTCCAATTCGAAATGAACGCAAAATTGGTACACAATAAAATATCATTACTTTTGTGAAAGTAATATTAAGTCTTACAAGAAGTTATTTGTTTGTTCAATCTTCGTTTGTGAAGCGAAAGCGAAAGTTCGTCTGGGAAGGTATGATCCGCTCCAAGCTCCGTCTTTTATGGACGCAATTAAGGAACAAGCTATATAGAAATTACGTAACAGACTTCTGAAGATAATTACAATTTTCAGCACGAATGCATCGGCATTCTGTTTGTGAACTTTTTATGCTTTAAATAATATTGTTTTTGTATTAATCTACAATGACGAAATCATAGTGCACCTGAGTTTCTCGCTGGATCTTTTGACTGGGTCGCGATTCTGATCCGGAGTTAGAAGCAGCGAAGCAGTGCTCTTGCTAGGGACAGAGTTACCAATACTTTCAGACCGAGTCCGTGAGTAGCTAAAATAGCCGTTAAGGGCTGCCAACAATAAGGTAGGAAAAAACGAATACAATGCTAAATATATATCACAAAGAAAGCCGCGATACTTCGAAACATGAGCGTCGAAGACTACTGTCTTCAAACCGAAAAGCATGAAGGCTTCGCGGCATAAATTGATAGGATAGTGGTGGACCAATACATCCCCCACTGATATCGAAAAACATTCCGGTAAAAGTATATAAAACTGGCCATTAAATGATGAGCTCTTAAGATTTAAGTATAAATAAGTAAAGGCTAAAGAAACTTAAACCTTTTCCACGAGTAAATCACGGCTGAAGGTCGGTGTTGAAATATCATACGTGTGTGTCATGTAGGTCGTTTAAGCTTTATATCACAGTCACGCTCCATTGAATCGTACAATCCATAATATTGATGCGGTGACTAATGATCAATAAATACTCCTTAATACGAGATTGCAGTTCCGTTAGATAACAAAAATAATAAATAAATAACTGGGACCTAATTACGGACGGTTATCCGGCCCCAAATTAGGATCCCGTGTGTTATGGGTACCAAAGACTGACATGTTTTTTTTATTATTATTTTTTATTGAATATATGGATGAACGAGCTCAAGGTCCACCTGGTGGTTACCGAAGCCCATAAACATCTACGTTGAGATGCCGCTACTCACCTTGAGATATGAGTTCTAAAGTCTCAGTATGTTTCAAAGGTAGCCCCGCCCTTCAAACCGAAACGCATTACTGCTTCACGGCAGAAATAGGCAGGGTGGTCATACCTACCTGTTCGGACTCACAAGAGGTCCTTCCACCAGTAAGATACATACTTACACACGTTTAAATATATACATATGCATAGATAATAAACACTCAGCAAAGAACAAACAAACCGGTTCATCACGCGAATGTTTGCTCCATGCGGGAGTCAAACCCACGACCCTCGGCACAACAGTCAGGAGCTCTAACTACTCCATCACCGATTCGGTCAAAAATAATAATTGGTAATCGCAATAATTATAAAAATGAAACCGCTATTAGTTAATTCACGACTTGGTAACAAAAAAGAAAGATCCATAATACAGCTCAAACATTAAATGTTGATAAACAACGGTTGTTGAATGTACGTTCTGTAATAATCTAAAATTATCATTGAGCTATTTGATCAATTACTTAAATCGCTACCAAGAATTGAAACCGCTTTCAGTTTATTTGATCTCTGTGTGGATTAATGAAAAATAATTTCATTTAATGATTCAGTACATTGATATATATACGCTAGTATTAACTGAATTAATTATGTGCCATGTACGTGAACACACACTCATGAATCTCTCCAAAATAAGCAAATTATGAAATTCACGTTCCATTTTCTCTTACCTTTGAGGTCCCCTTCGTTTGATTTATTGGAAAATTTAAAAGCTTTCGCATTTCAATATAAACAAAATGGTTTTATGGTAATTCGGGAAAGGTTTTGAAAAAAAAGGAGAAAAAAACGTGAATAAGTAATGGCATCCCTTTGATTGAAGACGACCCTTGCCCTATATTTATAAACACAAACCTGGACGGTCTGTATATTCTAAGTTTCGTAAAGATAGATTTGTTAAAGCAAGGTCAATATTACTTTTAATTCCTGCATCGTTTTGTTTTTAACATTGTCAGAATTGTTCTCGCGGAATACATAGCGGTAAGGAGAGAGCAATACGCCATAAGCCATACGACCTCGGCTCGAATTTTAATGGGTATTTATTTGTTAAATTATTTGCGATAAGGCACTCCTTAAAAAATATCAAAGTGAATTCGATTTTTGTGTTTGCATCAAGTTTATTGATGTATAATTCTGATAAAGAAAAAAACATTGAGTTTCCCTGCGAAATTCAATTAGTAATAATTTTTAGGGCGATGTTTGAATTACATCAGAATAGAGACTACATCCTCTCTTAAATCGGAATGTATGAGTGTTTTGTAGCCTAAATTTACCTAACAATTGTACTGACTCTTACCGTCTTACTAAAGTAACCAACCAAACGAGTTTGAAATGGCATATTACGTACGTATTGAAAATCCATTTAATAATTACCGTCTGTTTATGGAACGACTAGTGTTACCATTAGTATATATTGTGTACTCTTTATAAAAATATCAAAATTTATACATGATATATTCTTACATTTAGGTCAAAATCAACTGGATGATTAAAAAAAAAACCCCATTTCTTCCTATTTAGTGAGTAATAATTGTAGTTCACTTAACAATATTGCTAATAACGACTATCAAGTAACGCACGACGTGCCTCGAAGCCTATTATTCACAAACATACGTTATAATTTGTGGTTTTCCTTCTTAATATAATGTTCAAAGTGCTCGCTCACCTGTCTTTGTGAAAATAGAAAGACCTCCGGGCCACCGATAATCCTTCCTCAGAAATGTATACATATTACTATATACATCTCATTTATTACTCACGGAATTGTATTTCCATATAAATAAGTGTAAAAACGACTAACAGTACAGTAACAATGACTACATAATAGATAATCTATACGAATAAATAAAATTGGAGTGTTTGTTTGTTATAATAAAATAACCACTTTTTACTAAATGCGTAAGTATGTATACGCAGTACATATACCTTTTTTTCCGGGACGGGGCCGAACCTCCTATGAGGTCCCCGCGCCTAGGGGGCGCGCGGGCTATGTGGGACTGGTCCGCGACTGCGAAACCGCGGCGCGGGCCCAAGGATGTTTTTAGGGCCCTACCCACTAAACGACTCCCCTGCACTCTTCGACAGTACATATACCAAAGTAAATTTTTTTTTAATTTGTCTGTCTGTCTGTTTGTTCCGGGTAATATCTGGAATGACTGGACCGATTTTGACGGGACTTTCACTGATAGGTAGCTGATGATATAAGGAGTAACTTAGGCTAATTTTTTACACTAGCTTCGACCCGCGGCGTCGCCGGCGGTACGACAATAACCGCGGGTAACATCGCGGGACTCCGCTAGTATATTATAATTCTCGACTGCTAGTAATAACGTAATTGTTGCGGTCCTTATCTTTATGATACGACGAAATTCCTTCACAGTGTAAGACGTTTGTGAGCACGTGCTAAGAACGTATTAAAATTAGAAAAAAGGTATACTTGCCAGAAGATTTCAACTACCGCAAATTCTTATCAATAATTACAATGGTTGCCATACTGATTAGGCCACAGAAGTGGGCGAAATGTCTGGAGATCACATTCATTCTAGCTTTGTCTGTAAACATTGGTGCTACTCTTATTCGGAAATTACACGATATGTTAAGTAAATTAAGAGTTTTATATCTTAAAGACCACATTGTTTTTCTATCGAACACTTAAACAATCTGAAATAAAAGTAAAAAATCACTTTAAGGGATAAAACGTTATCTGTAGTAAGAATTTTATTGAGTGAGGGCGGAATGAACATTTATATTGCAGAAGTGCTTTATCTTATCATTTCAGCTATTATATCTATGTGATGAGGTTTTATATATTTCTATAAAAAATAAAAATGACATACTCCCAACTTGAATTATTTATTTACTCCTTCCAAAAACAGTAATTAACGAAATATTCGTTCATTGCGAAAATGATTTTGTTTCCATTGCGGTTTCACGTATTGTATAATTAACAAGAAAACATCTTTGTTAAATTGCTATTTCTGGAATTAGGCCACGAACATCGAACCATGCTAACTGAAATGCGCTTACTACAGATTCCTATTGTTTATTCGTTACACTAATTAGTCTGTTGGTATAGAACGACTTGAGTGAATCAGTGCGCATTGGTACAAAACCGGCGCTAAGTACTTTGACATCAGCCATGGAATGTGGCTTCAAGGCTCTAAACAAACATGACGTGGCTCGAAGCGTATTATCAGTAAACAGCACGCTGATTTTTTTTACCGTACATTTAAAAGTGTATAACGTAATCGTTTTATTTTGATCGAAAGTACCGCCAATCACTTTAACTATTTTTTATAAATACTTAAAGATCCTACACCATACTACAAATGGAAATCATATGACGATTTAAACGAATTTGAAAGACTTTTTTTTATTGCTTAGATGAGTGGACGAGCTCACAGCCCACCTGGTGTTAAGTGGTTACTGGAGCCCATAGACATCTACAACGTAAATGCGCCACCCACCTCGAGACATAAGTTCTAAGGTCTCAGGTATAGTTACAACGGCTGCCCCACCCTTCAAACCGAAACGCATTACTGCTTCATGGCAGAAATAAGCAGGGTGTTGGTACCTACCCGCGCGGACTCAGAGGTCCTACCACCAGTAATTTTTTGTCACTATTTTCATAAAACATTTTCTACCAACTTAAAAGTTAATAATTACGTTTATCTTTACGGATGAAGTGTTATTTTATGAAGAATCGAATCACTATATTTTATATCTAATAAATTTTGGGTGCTATATAATTATTATTCCATTCGTATGTTTAGAACATTTTGTGAATTATAGTGGTGTGTATCGATTTGTACATCATAATTGTCGACATAATTGGTTTTCTATAAAACCGTCACAGTAACTAACTAAATCATGTGCGTGCTTTATTAAAAAATCATTCTAAAACACATAAAAGTACATTTTTTAATGTTAATTGTGTGTATAGGGAATAATTTCATATAATGATTCGACGAGTGCCACGCCCACAGCTACTTGTAGAACTCACTCTTACGTTATATTTTAGAATACAAACAGCCAACTAGCGTGAAGTATTATACAGTAGTAGCATTTCGCGCGTTTAGCAGGAAGTCATATAGTCACGTACTTTTTACCGTTTGTAATGCAAAATCTTTATTCGTGACTACACATGTAAAACTCCCGAACCTTGGAATGCTTGCTAACATTTTATAACAGTGTCATATTATTGTCTATAAAAAATTGTATATCGTTCATATTATTACAGTTCCATCACTACTAAACATTAAAGGTAAATTGAACGTAAAACAACGTATCGAAAAAATATAATATGGAGTTCCTCAATTCAATTTGGTAGATTGAAAAAATGTTTTGGATCTGATAACATTCTTGAAGAGGTGACCGCCATTATTGTTTTAAATTCTGTAAGAGTGAAGAATATGCTCGTTTGTGTTATATTGTGTTATATCTAACCTTGCAACGGTGCATTCTACATGGTGGGAGACGACAGTCTGCGGCAATCATTCCATTGTGTTTCCGAGTCGTTGGTTTGCCTCATCAAATTATTATATCACACTGTTCCGTGAAGGTTACAGCTTACAATGTCCATGTTGCGAGAAATTGTTTTAAAAAAAATGATTACTGAGTGAAATAGTTTAATATATTTATAACAATAATACTACTACTTTATAATGCTACTACCTTATGACAATAATACTATAATAAATTGCACTCTTTTAATATACGCATTTTTTACATTGTAAATACTTTTAATATTGCAGCTTAATATTCTTGGCAAAGTAGCCGGGGTCATTAATGGAGGGTTTCTTTGCAAAATATTAAGTACATATCGACAGATGAAAGGCTATTTGGTTTAAGCGACATTTTTGCAAATTTACAGGAGAGCAATTTAAAATTTGGTAGAAATATCATGACAAAAAATCTTCCTCACCTATTTGAATGTGGTAAACATAATTGGAGTTCAATCAAAACCATTGAATTGTTGATGCTAATCTATAAATCTATAAATGAATTGCTGTTCGTTAGTCTCGCTAAAATTCGAAAACGGTTGGACCGATTTGGCTAATTTTGGTCTTGAATTATTTGTGGAAGTCCAGAGAAGGTTTAAAAGGTAGATAAATATGAAAATGCTCGGAATTAAACAAAAATAACAATTTTGGTTTTCCTTTGATGTGTCCCCCGTCGGACGGATTCCTTTTGTTTGTTTTCTCTTATTTATCGATTGAGGCACTATCTACGAAGTCTGCCGGGTCAGCTAGTACCAAATAAAACGGTCCTTTAATTAAATGTCGCTTAAACCAAATCGTCTTTCACTCCTCGATATACAAATAAAGATAATATAAGAAAACATCCAGTCTTAAGCAGATTATGCAAATATGGTAAATAAAAAATAGTATTTGTTTCTTTACAGTTTAGTGTCACTTCAATCTTTGGAATTGCGAGAAAACCTACTTAAGTCACTGCCAGAGTCCTTGAAGAATTTGACCAATCTCCAGAGACTAGATTTAGGTGATAATGAAATTGAGGAATTGGTAAGTACTCGCTTAAAAATAATAATAATAATATATTGTAGCGTCGCTGTTGTTAGGAATTATAAACATAATTCAATATATTTTATGCTCGTGCAGCCAGGGTTTATTGGAGAGCTTCCTGCTTTAGAAGAACTTTGGTTGGACCATAACAAGTTGCAGTATTTGCCGCCTGAGATCGGCAATCTCAAAGCACTGATCTGCTTAGATGTTAGTGAGAACAAATTAGAGAAGATACCAGAAGAGATTGGCGGACTTTCATCATTAACCGACTTGCACCTCTCCCAAAATATGTTAGAATCCATACCCGATGGTATAGGTCATTTATACAAGTTAACTATACTGAAGTTGGACCAAAATAGATTACATACGTTAAACGAAAACGTTGGAAGGTTAGTTCACTGTTTAAGATATGTTTCATTTTGTTAGTTTATCTTGAACTATTTATAAACTCAGCCTATTTCTCTTACAGGTGTACAAATCTACAAGAGCTTATATTAACGGAGAATTTTTTAACGGAATTGCCTGACTCTATTGGAAATCTCAATAAGTTGACCGTTTTGAATGTAGATAGAAATTCGTTAGCCGAAATTCCGATGGATATCGGTAATATGACGCTGTTAGGGGTCCTAAGTTTAAGAGATAATAAATTGACGAAACTGCCGAACGAATTAGGGAACTGTACGTCACTTCACGTTTTGGACGTAAGCGGAAATCGGTAAGTCTTAATTCAGTTGGAAACTGTATCGTAAAGTAATCATAAATACACCTTAGAATCAGTTTAGACTATTTTATGCCTTATGTTGATTATTTCGATGATATATTTCAGGTTGCAATACCTTCCGTACACGCTGGTAAATTTGGAACTAAAAGCGGTGTGGTTGTCCGAAAACCAAGCGCAACCACTCTTGACTTTCCAAACGGACAGAGACGAAAGCACCGGGGAGAACGTCCTTACTTGTTTCCTCTTACCGCAGCTCAGTTACACTCAACAACCAGGTAAGAAGGAAAGTATTTCACTAAACCTTCACACGCTGCTGATACGCTTTTGGTGTTAGAAAAACTAATGAAAAAAGAGTACTCGGCTCAGAAATATCCGAGAATAGTCTTCTAGAAATCGACCGATCAGTCAGTGTGTACTGCCTTGCCAAAACTAGCAAAGTCATGATGCGATTTCACCTCAATTGGATGATGTTTATTTTTTTATTTGGATCACCTTGAGTTCACTGACTCGACTGTCGGTTGCTGTTTACTCAATAACGAGTGTTACATCCCTATTTCGAATGCTTTTAATCTGTCACGGTATGGCACAGATAATATTCGGATATTATGTAGTACTACCATTGTATAGGTGCACTTTGATTTTTTATTCTATATCTAAAGTTTAGAAACGTCCACCTAATTAGTGAAATTTTATGTATATAACAAGTACCTATCTACTTCAATAGTGATCACACGGATTTTGTTTGTTTGTTTTTTTTTTATATTTTTTACGCAGTGTTTATCTGCCGTACGTTTTTGTGAAAGTGAGGCTTTTATGGTAAAGTTTGCGCCACTGCTTTTTCGAGCTTTCATTTTGTTGTGCAACTTTTAGCGAGCAATTACAATTGAATTCGATTTCAATTATGATTGAAATTGATAGTAATGGTTAAATGAATACAATGTAAATGCTCTCTAACGCTTATGTTTTGTTTTTGCTGTGTATATACTAAATGCACTTGTCACACCACGAATAGAGCTGGAACACACATCAGAAGTCGGCAGTGGACAGTGGTACAGGGATCACAAATATATATCACGGTCGGGGGAGATTGATAATATCAAAGGTAAGACTCGCATAGCTTCCTTCACTGTACCTACTACACACAAACTCGATCCTATTATGAATATCTTAAATTGGTTTCTTTCAATATGTATTATCACTTGTAGATTAGATTAAAATGCGCACTGTATATTTTTAATTATTTTTATCGGTGAACATCCCAGAAAATAAGTTCATTGTACTTTTTAGTAGACATTTTTTTTAAAATCTAAATTAAATTATGTCGCAGGTTTTTGTGATTACGTTCGTTAAAACGTTCCATATTTAAAAAAATAATAATGAAATGGTGCAATTTATTTAGTGACGTAAATGTGGACAAACAATTACATTTCTTAATGTCTAAATACATAATAGTTGGTTGATAATTTTGTAACGAATGTCAAACGTAATACCTTTATCGAAAGTTGCATATCTACGCAAGGTCAAAACGGTTAAGGATACGTGATGTTATTATGACGAGCTCGATGTACATAGATAGATATTATTGCACACATAATTTGTCGCCATATAACGTTTCACGTTATAATATAGGTATATACTAGTGGTCCCGCAGAAGTCGAAATTTACAATTATTAATTGAAATTAGAAGTTTGAACATTATTATGGTTCTATGGTCAAAAACTTTACTTCTTTAATCATATATTTTGCCAAGGCTACATTATAGGCAAATAATATTAAAGAGCAACAATATTTATTCTATTCTCAATTTGACTACAGACTATAAACAATAACAAAAGTTTGACAGTTGATCATACACAAAGAGTATATTTATATCTATGGGTTGTGTTAAATACGGGTTGTGTAATTTGTGTAATGTTTTTTTTATTGATTTAATGTATTTTTCATGCATAATTTCTAAAAAATACTAGCATTCTGCACTCCTTCTCTATATTCTCTATTAGTATCGGAAAATTCATACTCCTCTGTCCCGAAAATTTCGTAAAAAAACGGGGTACAAAGTTTTTGCTTCACGTATTAATATATAGATAAATGGCAGATCGAAAACAATTAACACGTAAATTTCTATCGCATTTCCATGTTCATATTCTCATCGCCTTATGTAATTGTGAAATAAACGTTTTTGGTAGTCATACGCTGTTAGCAATGTCGTAAAAGCTGCGAATCTTTTTTTTTTTTTTGGTAATTTGTAAGCAGCTTCGTTGTGGTTGTCCCGCTTTTAAAATTATTATGGTAACACTACAGAATATACATGTCCGCATTAAAAAGTGTATTGGTTTAACAGATACAAGCGTTTCCCGTGATCGTGATTCGGACAACGAAGATTGGGAGGAGAAGGAGGCGTCGCGCACTCATTCCGTTAAGTTCACGGAAGACGTTTCCGACGTTCGAGAGGTGAGATACTGTTGTTGTTTTTCATATAAGATACCTCCGTACTCGAGGGCAGGTTGGAGGTTTTCGTGTACAGAGAAACACGCTTATAAACACATTAGGTATAATGTACAGACGTGCTTTCAAAGTGCAGGCAGTACGATTAGAGACGGTAGTGTTAGATTAAGTTGTTGGTTCAGGAGGAAGTTTCGAGGTAACTTTTCAAGACAAAGGGCGTATTTGGCGTTGAGTTCTATACTCGTTGCGTTTGAATAATTTGTACTAAACAGTTGTGTAATATTGAGTTTTTTTTATATATTTATTATCTCACTGTGATTAAAAATAAAATAGGAATATTAATGTTCAAATTTGCGTATCTCATTAATCGATATTTTTATCTTTTTTATGTACTAGTTTTAGTTTAATAAAGGAACTGTAATAATTTGTAATATTGTTTTTATTTTGGATTATTGTAAATGTATTTAGTTTTTACAATATTAATATAATGTACTGTGAAACAAAACGACCTTAAAATTACATTATTCTCAAATAGAAGACACCATACTCATACATATGATAAATATCCAGATGTATGTAAAATACATTTAAAATAAATGCAAATATCACTTTAACCGTGAATATTATCACATCTGTTGAATTATTTAAGTAAAAATGTCAGTAACACTGTCTTTATCTATGAACAAAATAGGATGAGTTTCCAAAAATCAAATATGTTTCTATGCATCGGTTGAAGATAAGAATTTTTATTATACAATTTTAGTTATATTTTCTTCTTAAAGAAAGTAAATATTCATAAAAAATACATACTTTTGTAAATTGAATATGAATATTGGTTGTAAGTAATTTAAGCGTTTAGGTGAGGGGAAATGAAAAATGCGCAAAAATGATTTCTTTATTGAAATTTGTTGAAATGTAATTTATTACTTAATTAAATTAAAATCTATTTACATATTTAGATTATGTTAACATACAATTCTTGTTCAGTTTCGAAACGTCTAAAACGTGTATATAAACTAATATTTGTTTGTACATTTTAATTATTTAGTGAGAAGGAATTCAATTTTAAGGTCCCATCGATTCAGGAGGACAGTGACGAGGTGACACTTTCTGAGTCTTCCTTCGCGCCACAGTCGATGTTGTCGTTCCGTCGACCGATTAATGTAGTTCGCAAGCTAGTTACAACACAACGGAGGAGTTCACTGCAACGGCTCTCCTCCTCTATAACTAACCTCGCGGAGGTACACGGCGACGCGGCTCGCGCGGTGCATTCACAATTCGTTACAACAGATGGCGCCTCTATATCCGCACGCTCTTTGCATGTATACCCGCTGACGTCGTAGTAGTAGAATTCGATTCGAACTCTATCCAAAAGTATAGAAATCTTAAATTTATCTAATCATGAAAAAGTATTATAAATTTTCATTAAAAAAAAAACAGATGGTAAAACGTTGTGAATGTACAGTCAGCGAGTCGATTTTAAGCTGCAACAACACAGCCTCTTGCTCTTTCGCAGTAATTAGAGAGAAATCTATTTATGCTAAAAGTAGATTAATGCAATCCTAGTTTACTACCTAAGTGACGTCAAACCTTCAACATACATGTTACACAGTATACTCGTTTATCACTAACCAAAGAACTTGTGCCAAAATAAATTATCCTAGTATGCTTTCACTCACGTAGCTCTACAAAATCTTTTTAACGAAATAAAAAAATTGAAAACAGTAATTCAATGAATGCACTTGCTCAATGATTTTTCGTTTTTTTTCCGTATTATTTTGTACACACTGAACACGTCAATTTCTTACAACGCAGCGCACTTTGTTAGTTTATATATTTAGTTCATATTTAAATTGCACTTAGCGTAGATAAGTCGATATCAGTAAGACGTCTTAGCTTCGCACACAGAAGATTGGATGTGATATCATATCCTGTGAATCACTCAGCCTCGCTTCATAGTGAATTATATGATTATTCGTTTAATTGGCCAGTGAGACAATTTCTTAAAGTAGACATTATAATAATTAAAACCTTTCTTATAAGTATTCTGTTTTAATTGATATGCTAAAATTGAATATGTATATACGAAAGAAGGTTTATTTCGTTTCGGAATTCCGTGTGATAATAATCGAAAATGATAAATTTTAACACCACTCAATATTTCTAGTATTTTAACTATCACCGATATATCTTAAGCACATGTAAGCTTGAACGATCTATGTGCTGCTGGAAATGTTTTATTCGCATTAAGATTTTTTATTCTTAAGGTATATTTATAATTTTATTTATAAGCATGTTTGCATGGTTTCTATAAAAAAAATATTCTAAACGTATTTAATAACTAGTTTTTGATAAATAAATAGAAATTAGAATTTGTTATCGTTTTCACAGACACCGTTCGTAAGACAGAACACGCCTCATCCGAAAGACTTGAAAGCGAAAGCTCACAAGCTTTTGGCTGGACGATCACCGGACAATGCGATCACGCAACCAACGAAGACCGAATCGCCCACTACAAACGGATTACCTTTGTCCCCTATAAAAATTGTTCCAGTCGTAGAAGAGAAAGTAGAGGTGAGTGAACGATATTCGACGTTGTTTTATTTTTTTTAAATAAAAGAACAATTATTGCGGCATAACTATAATAATTAAACATATGATGTCGCGACACTATTTGTAAATAATATGTTCTGCAAAGTCGTAGTACATTATTTTTATTCTATCATCAATAGTTTTTCGCAGAGCACGCGACGTAAAGAATATTTTAGGTAATTTTTTACACCTCGGGTTACATTATTGGAGTTTTACTAAAGATCTGTAATTTTTTTCAAAAAAGATAATAGCCTATGTCACTCGGAAATAGTGTAGCTTCCAAACAGTGAAAGAATTTTTGAAATCGGTTCAGTAGTTTCGGAGCCTATTCAATACAAACAAACAAACAAATCTTTCCTCTTTATAATATTAAATATAATAGTATAGATGTAGACAAGACACATTGTGGTTTACATGTCCGAGTGCCATTTGAACTTATGGTATTCTAGGTCGAACGAACGAGACATAGAGAAAGTCAGTTTTTAAACCGTATAAGGTGGAATCAGATCTTTCGTTATTTGCATGCTAATCATATCGATTGGCCAAATATTGTATTAATATCGGCATCGCGACCTGGTTTTTTTTTCCAAGTTTTTATAGAAGCAATTTGTTGTTCTATATCGTAGGACGAGGTACAGAAAATCGAAGAGATCCCGGAAATAATTAAAGACGACGACAGCGACACTATAACCGCAGTGGATCGGGATTCCTCTGAAACTGAAAATGATGAAAACGAAGATTCGGACGAACTTGAGGTGGGATTTATAATAGTACACTAATCACTAATTATATTGTATTATGACGTGTGTTAATGAAAACATATCACTTACGGCCTCAATAATTAATGAACGTGGACTAAGGTAGTCGGTGTGTGTACGTTAGCGTTACGATGCAGGTTTTGGTCGATTTTACCCAATTTCTTCCAAGCAATCATATCAAGAAGTTTATTGGTAATAGAGCGTATTATAACCCTGTGCAGAGCTGCGTATTTCTGCTATGAAGCAGCCTATAGTGGAACAGTTGTTATACAGTAGAATAGAGGTTTTGTTCGTGTCTCAAGATTAGGGTGTCTATGGGTTCCAGTAATATATATACACCATATGGACTATATGATCGAATTACGAAAAAGAAAGGTTTATAAGTTCGGCAATAATTTATAAGTGACGGCTTGGGATAACAACATGAGTACAAATACAAAAATACATTTATCTATATTATGTTTTGGTTAGTAATTTACTAATTTATTTTAACATTAACACATGCATTAATGCAATAATTTAGATAATAATAATATTAATAACAATTAGTAACTAAATCAATGACTCCTAAGACCAATCATGATGCTATGTTTCAATGTTAAGTTTGTGTAATATTTTGGTAGCATCATGATTGCTTCTTGGTTGGTAATATTCACGCACTAGTAGATGAAATAATCTTTTAAATTTATTTCCTTAAAATCTTTTAACTTTCTATAATAATCCGAAATTTGAAGAAAAAAAAAATGCAACGCGCTCGCGGAATACATTATGCGTACAAGCAATTGATTAAAGCCTTAAAGGCCTTACAAATCGGTCCTTTTAATATCTCCTCCAGTTTTATCAGATTGTATGATCGGCGACGAGTTGCAATTCAGCATTGCGTTACATTTACACAGACAACTAACTTCCTCAGACCTTGCCACCGCCGCTCGTGTTTCGGGTAACCCAAACTCGTAAATGGTGGTGATTCTTGATTTGATAACACTAAAAATAGCAGATTCCGCAAAAGGATGGTATTTAAGTGAATTAATTTATTTGCATTGCACATGGGTGTAAAGTCATCCGAAGAGTGTAGGCAATGTCGTTTCTTTAAACTGCGCGTTAATAAAATAATAATTTATAGACGCATAAATTACTTTTACAAAAAAAAATTCAATTAAATCAAAAAAACGTAGAATTATTAAATTTTGGATTCTGGGAACGGTTCCCTTACAGACTACATAGTCTGAGGAAACAAGGGCTGGAGATGCGATTATTCCAAATTTACCATTCTCAAAAGTTGAATGCGAAGTAACTTAAGAAGTGGTATAGAATAATTTTATTTTATGAAATGTTAACAGTGACCCGAGCAGCGGTGGTAGTGGTTCAATGGCAGGCTGCGACTAGTGGAGTTACTCGAATACGATAATAGAGATGAAAATAATATGCGATTATAGCCTGCGAGAGCTAGAGCTGGCTTTAGTTAATAGTTTACATCAGTGTGCTTAGTGCGAGTTTTTTAACGTTCTCGATAGCGTAAAAGTTAGGTCATATTCGTATGGAATGGGATCGTTTGCCTACGTTTGCCGCTAGAGGCGCTGTTCCAACTGCATACAAAATTGGGCTAACTTTTACGCTATCGAGAACGTTAAAAATGTCGCACTAAGTACACATATGTTATCGTAGTGACAACATTTTCCATACCCACCCTAAACAGTATATGTGCGCTTGGTTGTATTCGAGGAACTCCTTTTGTAAGTCAGTCGTTAACGTGTCGGGGATGTGTCGGTGGTGGTGGAGTAGCGGGGCGAGAAGCGCGTGGTGTGGCGCAGCTCGGTGGAGGAGCGCGGTGCGGGGTGCGCGGGGGGCCGCCTTCACCGCCGCGACACGCCTCACCACCTCAAGAACAAACGCGTCAACATGATGGACGCGGGACGGGCGCGCGACCTCATAGCGCAGGTGCCGTCGCACGCTAATCATTTCCACATTCGACTGTAACGCCATCTCTTGACGTTTCATTGGCATGATCTCGCTTTAGTTAACATTCGATGCGACGCTTAATTGTGTTACGTGCACCGCGCCGCCATCTGTGGGCGTTGGGAATCTGCGCTAAATCTATTTTAAGTTTACTCAAACCGCTTTGCATGTGTTATCATCGAAATGCTTTCAGCGTAATACATCCGTAATCGGTTACTTCTGATTTTATACTGTTTTGAGCTTAAAATGTAAAATTCATAGCAAAAAATGTATTTGCAGTTTCTGTTAAATTGTTTTTTTTAAAGCAAAGCATCTGAAAATTATGAACAATTGCATTTGTCCTTTGAGCTGGGCTTTATTGGTTTATAAGTCTCAGCGTGACGCCTGTGACCGACCTAATGTCGACGTTTATTTCGATACAAGAAACAAGAAACTAAATAGTACGCTTCGAAACTCCTGAAAATCAAAACAAAACGACAGCACCTCGAATGTTTTCATTAAGTTTTCAAACGACGTTGCAATTTTTGGCTAGGACTTGGTAGTGATTCTTAATTAAGTTGTATGTACTTTGCATTATTTCAGTATTCAATCATATCATGTAAAAAAATATCGACAAAATCATCCTGTCGATATACACGAAAACGTTTCATTTTCTCAGTTTATAACGTTAAAGGGAATCAACATTGTGCTGATAACGTTAGCTTTTATCTCCCCTGCCCTGGTTATAATCTGACCTCGATTTCTAAATCTTCCCTAAACATTGCTAACAGTTTATACGCAGTGTGCACTGCTTCAAGATTGCGTGCGCCACTTTTGTAACTGTTTACTTTGCATTATAATCGAATTACTGAACAGCAGTTTATCCCTTTTTTTCTACCTATTTGCTAGTAGCCTAAGGGGCTATTCCAGCTATGTATACGCAGACGGACACATAGGTGAGCTCACGGGCTCATCCTGAGATAATTTGCTAACAATAGCTCTAGTAAGAGGAGTACCTACTTCGCAAAATCTACCACCGGAGCGGAATCGCGACCCACTAAGAAGATTCAGCGAGAAACTCCGTTAGTTAGAAAAGCGGGTTAGTTCGCTCGTCGCTTCGTCGTAATCGACGAATTCGAGGAGGACGGTCACCGGTGCTTGAAGAGCCTAAAGTGGATCTGGGGATGCCACAAGATATGTTTCGGGCGACGGTAGCTTTGCTTTTCCCCGTCGTCTGGATCGAACGTGTAATTAGCACCGGCCACGAGAAGTGGGTTAACATGTCGCGCCGCATTGTCGAAATAGCGTTCTGACGCTACCTTAAAATACGTATCGTTTCTAAATTTAGATCGTCGTGATAATCAACATTCCTCACCTACCACGGTGTTCCGATGGCTATTCTGCAGAAACAGGATTGGATGATCTGAAGAGCGTTTACATGCATGCGGGCCGCGTGAGCGAATACTAAACTTGCATAGGTCATGAAAGAACGTATGGAAGGTTTGTAGTGTCACCTTATTTCAAAGGGACAATTTACTTCGCTTGCAGTTCATGGGGTAAAGTCGACCGAGTAGCAATGTGGCTCGTACTGTCTTAATGTGGGCACTGAGTGTATTCCCTCTGTCGGGGGTGACGCTATAGGCTGGCCAAAGATTTGAAGGCAGGAATGGAGTTAACACTCCAATTCGAGATGAGATATTAGTAGTGGTGTCATGAGGGCAGCCCCGTATTTATCCCTGGATGCCATGCAACTCTATTTATTTTTAAACGAAGATATATAGCAATTAAAAATCACCAACGCAATTTAGTTTTTCGTTTAATGAACAAATTAATAAATGATGACAATCTTTAAACATCTACGTACGTCTCGTCTTAAATATTTTCACTTCAGAAGCATAAGGTGTGAACTGCAAAAATGTCTATATGGATTCGCTTGATATCATAATTTTTATGAATAACACTGAAGCTTACAAAAAAGAAAAACATTCGATAAACCGAAAAGAAAGAAGTACTAAAACGGTTTGTCTTGGTGTATTAATACAGATATGATAGGGAATTTCGAATTTTATGTTGATCGTTTTCAAATTGAATGACCTTTGAAATTTAAACATTTTAATAGGCACCACACGAATTTATTGTTTTTACCGGTCACCGTCTTCGCCAAACTCATCGCTTGCGACGAAGGGCTCGACGAGTAAATTAACCCATAGACACAGCCCACTGAGTTTCTCGCCGGATCTTCTCAGTGGGTCGCGTTTCCGATCCGTCGGTATATTCGGTGAAGCACGGCTCTTGCTAGGGTTCGTGTTAGCAACGTCATCAGGTTTGAGCCCCGCGAGCTCAACTACACGTTAGGATGAAGCTGAAATAGCCTCTCAAGGCTATCAGCATAGCTAGGTAAAAAAAAATCCCTTTTACTATGCTATTTATTTTGAAATATGCTTTTAAAGTAAACAAAATCGAAATTATTTGAATGGTTGTTGTAACAGATACTAATACGGCATTTAAGATCATTCTGCATTGATAAAATGCCTCTTACAGCATCTATGAACGTGCTTTCTCTCGCTGTCCGTCTATACTTATCTCAATCAGTAAATGTCATTATGTTTCCGGGATAATTTCCTGCGTTTGCTACAACCTCTATCAATTATGTTTTATCTGCCGTTGACGTTTTGCGACGACGTAAATCGTGAGATGTAAATCATTTATTTGCAAAGGGGCACTTGCTGGTCATATAAGTGAAATTATTTTTCTACGTTTCACATAATAATATTATATATAAATGTTTTTAGAGTTTTTGTGTGAAACTTAAGTACGTTCTATGTAAATCAGTTCCATACCATAATAACAAATGTGTCATTAAAGTTGGAAAGCTTAAAGAGTTTACTGGTGGTAGGACCTCTTGTGAGTCCGCGCGGGTAGCTACCACGAACCTGCCTATTTCTGCCGTGAAGCAGTAATGTGTTTCGGTCCGAAGGGTAGGGCAGCCCTTGTAACTATACTGAGATCTTAGAACTTATATCTCGAGGTGGGTGGCGCATTTGCGTTGTACATGTCTATGGGCTCCAGTAACCACTTAACACCAGGTGGGCTGTGAGCTCGTCCACCCATCTAAGCAATAAAAAAATAATAGTTAATTTGCACCATGCAACAGTGATATGTATTAGTTTTCATTGCAACTTAAATTAAAACAATACACAACAATTATAAAGCAAATTAACGTTTATCGAGCACATCGATCGAACAATTATTCCGTTCATCGGGACGGCATCAAAATTGCGATATCACAATAACGCGAAAGGGTAAAAGCAGACGCGCGGACCGAGACTGCATTTCTTGCCGGCGAGAGAGCATCAGAAACAATAAATCGTGAGATTTGTTTTCGCGATGTACTCGTTCGCAGTAAACGTGTTAACAAATAACGATTTATAAAACAAATATTCGCGTCTTAAATCGCGAAACAGTATATTTGACGTATCTTGTTGTAAATCATCTGTTAGTAAGCTATATAACGGTTAAAGAATATAAAAAAAAACTATACTCCGTACATAAAAAGTGTAACAAACACCACAGAATCGCGCCGTTACTATAAGCACGATCCAAGCGTGGGTAATTTGTCGGAATACCACGGCTGTTCCGGGCTGATGCGTCCGGGCCCTCGAGCACGACGCTCTCAGCAGACCCTCCGCGAGGCTCGCAGAAATGACTGCCATCCACCGTACCGCTCACAACAATGCTTCGTGTGCCGCGATTAATCGATAAGTGAAGTGCCGCTTTCTCAATAACGGAGTTGTGTCAAATAAATCAGCTAAAAAGATCGGGCTATTTTCTCGTAGTGCTCTTTATTCGGTACTTATTAAAATGAGGTGCTTGAAAGCAGCAGGAGGATGGATAGCGCGGGTGAGATGCGTGTCCATGATAACTCGGCTTCAGATTTCAATTAAGATTGTACTGGGTTTTGTTTTGGTTTTGCACGTACTTGTATTATCTCGCCTATTTAATTTACACCAGCACGGTTTTGCGTAATACATCATTGTGCACTTCTTTAGAGAAATTTTGAGTTTTTGAAGTAGTAAGCAGCATATAAAATGTATCAAAATATTACATTGATTGTGAGGTAGGCTTAGTTTTTGCAAAACAAATTCAATATGTTCGTTTTACAGGCGATCAAGAAACAAGAACTAAACGATGAACGCAAACCCGACGAAGAAGCCACAGAGGACATTCCAGACGGTAAGTCTCTGATTTCATAACACGTACGTCATTGTGATAAATGTGATTGGGAATTTTCATAAAACTATAATAATATTGATGTTCCATGCACGCTTTGTGATCGTATTAGGTCGTGTATCATAAGGCTCATCAGAGAATTCCTGTGCCGTTAGTTTGGCCACTTAAATAGGCTAACTTTATTTTGTGATAATTTACGCGAGTAACCAATTTTGGGTCATTAAGTATGGCAATTTTACCGGTCCGCATACAACCTAGTTTCGTATTATTTATATAAGATGTTCACAATGCCCGGTATTGGTCTCTCGATAATGTATTACACACGCAAAAAGGAAACCTAGAAATGATTATTCGATGTTGTCACCGTATAAAATCCATATCGTGACTTTATCAGCTTATCTCGTGCACTCGACGTGCCATACCGTGCCGTATACGATGCCTCAGTTCTTCGCTTTGTTCGTAGTTAAAATGACTCCTCGCGGAATATATAAAATTAAGTAAATTAAAATGGAAACAAGTGATCGAGGTTAAAAACATATCCAAAATGTTGATACATAAGTGACTTACGGCAGTGTGCGTGCACTTAAAACCTACGCTAAAGCACGGCGTGACTCATCATGCAGATTCTAAAACTAGTATTTTAACTATGTATCAACCGTGTAGAGGTTTTAGTTTGTGCTAAAATCGTTTATATCGTTCACAAGAGTATCTTGAGTGTTTACTTCAAAGTGATTATTTGTTAACTATTTTATATACTTATCGATAATGTTCAAAGTAAATTATCATTTGTTATAACGCTAATGATTTGTAGAAACGTCGTGAATAAGCAACGCGTGAAGGTCAAACCGAATTATTCTATATATTTATAGGAAACGTTAAATTTATACGAAATTTATAAAGTTTAATGTCGGCAGCTCAGTGAATTGTGTATCTGATTCACGTTCGCAAACTCACTGTGGACTTCGTCTTGCTCCATATACTCAGAAATTATATGTTACGTATCCTAAACTCGAACGTACGTATCTACTTTCTCTGCATACAACTAACTGCTGTGCAAGTGACACGTTTTATAAATTGCTAGTGCCTTTAATGACACCTAAAGAACCGTGTCAGTAATTAAGCCACTTAGAGCGCAGCCTTTTCCCACAGTAATAAAACGATCCTATTCAAACAGTGTGTCTGCTTTGGATCCCTCTGTGATATATCTAAAAAAAATTGTCGTTTTTTTTTATCCTACCTAAGCTGATAGCCTTGAGAGGCTATTTCAGCGTAACCTTAACTAGTAGGTGAGCTCACGGGGCTCAAACCGGAGTGATGCTAACACTGACCCTAGCAAGAGCAGTGCTTCGCAGAATCTACCGCCGGATCGGAAACGCGACCCACTGAGAAGATCCGCCGAGAAACTCAGTGGGCTGTGTCTATGGGTTAAATCGCTCGTCGAGCCCTTCGTCGTAAGCGACGGGTTCGACGAGGACGGTGACCGGTGCTCGTGGTACCTAAAAGCACCGTTAATGGATCGGGATGATCCGTAATGACGTGTTTTGGGCAATTGTCGTACAAACAATAACAAGTTCCTTTACACTTGTATTCGTCCATATCGAAATGTTCACGTTTCACGGTCATATCGTCTTCTCGCATCAAAACTGTATAATCTCAAAACTTACTAATTTTACAGAAGAGGGTTTTAAATGATTAACATGTTGTATTTTTAATATTGATCATATTTGCAACGTTTTTTTTTTTTTTTCCAGTTTCATTATCTGTCTTTTAAAGTAAGATAAAATTGTGTATTAATTTTGTTAATAGTAGTCAAAATATAGGTAAACTAAAAAAAAGAAAACTAAAATTAAACTACGCTCTTTTCACAGTATTTATGAGTAAAATACTGGTTATACCAAATGATTCTGCTTAATATCAATATTACCTCAATTTCGAATATTTTTGGAAATTGTACACTTTTAATGCGAAAAGACGATATAATGAAAGATGGATTTAGTTTCTGCGTTACTCGCTCCAATAATTCATGACGCCGTTCGTTCATTGTCTTATTTTCTTTTGTTTTTCCACGAAGTGTTTAAATTGTATTTCAATTCATGACAAATAACAGTTTAAAGCGATTAAAATTTAAAGTAGTAGGTACATTGGAATGAATCTTATTAAATAATGAGTAATAAATGATTAGAAATTATTGCACTCTTGTAAATTATTATTCACCGTGTGATAATTGTAACGAAGGCTAAATCATACTTATGAGGCCCGGCACGCCGCGCCGTAAATGTAAATAAGACATGTGCGTAGAAGACGCTTAACCTTGACCCAGTGAGATTTTCCGTAACTGTTTACTCAAGGTAGAATTATCAACCATAATTCGATGACGTGGGCAGGATACAAAAGTATAACGCCCGTTGAAAGTTTATTTGGGATTTATTGGTAATAAATATTGCATATGACCCCTCTGTTTACTCAACATCATATTTGTTTAAGACAAAAGTTATTGAACTGGCTTTATCTTATCAGCATACCATTAAATACGAAACGACTCAGCTTGTGCTTCAGTACAACACGACACATTCGGAGGCAGCGGTTTTATTAGAAACTAGTGTATATCGTTTTAATATAGGAACGTTAATTGGTTACGTTTCGTTAACATTGTGTTATGTGCCACGAAAAAATTGATTTGTTCGTTTTGTATAAACAAAATTACAGTTTGTATAGAGTTGGTCTTTATGGATATATCGCGTGCTTCAGTACTGCTCACATAAAGTAACATCAGTGTTCTCCAGGGCTAATTCTCCAAGTCTTATTGGATGATTGAATTTACGTAATGTACAAAAGTAATCGCTTTAGAATTTCAATTCGGGGTAGATATTCGTTTGAAGGTTACCTAATCCATTTTCAACGAATTATTTCGTGTCCTTGAATTCTATTTGTTATATCGTCGCTGTCAAACCAAAATCTGCTATGTGCCAAAACTCTATTTTGAATTAACGAGTAAAAACCTTTTCGTATAAAATTTTATATGAAGGTGAATTTTTAAGGACTATATCAAATGAAAGCTATAGATAAATATTAAAGCTATAGACACATAACAGTTTTTTTATACGGTAGATAGGGCTGTGAACTCTGCGAAAAGGTCAAAAAGTGCACATAGCAGATTTTGGTTAGACAACGACGATATAATAATGTACCTAATTCTAATTAAAATCCCACGATAGTCTTAAATAGTTTAAATACCTATTTAATCTCAAAATCAATCTTGAATTTATTCCCTGTCACTTTTTTGTTCTCGTGCATTTACAAAAAGTTTTGTTCGCTGCGGGATTGATGGTACCTTTGTTCGAAAGTCGCATTCACGCATACACCGCACAAAACATTTTGACCTCAATTAACTCTAACAACGCCACTATAATATTCGACCTCTGGTCATTTCTTAAAACATTAGAACTAATGAAATATCTTTCATGTTTAACGATATAAATAAATGCTTACATTATATTGATAGGCCTACATATATGTATATAATAACAAAGCTGATGTACATTACGTGACTTCGGGTTCATTACGTGCCAATCCCTCCACATGTAGGTACATAAGTCGATAAGGGCAACAAAAAAATAAGTCTGTCAAAATCGTGATAGGTGAGATATTGCATAACATAAATAAATTCGTGTACATTACAATTTGTTTAATAGAAAACCACTTATCAAATTATGATCTCTAAAACCTCAGGCGAAAGTGTATACAGAAAAGCTTAAGTTAATAACGGATTAAAAATGAAAGACAAAAGACTCGAGGTAAAGTTGAGTGTTCGCGGTGATGGCTCATTGAGCCGAAACAGTAATAGAAGCAGCACAAGAAGTAATCGCAGTAACATCAGCTCAAACAACGGGCTGCCGGTCAGCGAGTTTTTCGCCATAGACCGGTTCTCAGCTCCGCAAAATAGATCCTTCGATATTCTCGACAAGTACCGCAGGCAACCGAGCCAGCGCGGGTATCCAGGACAGAGTCTACAAGTATTAAATCAATATCAGCGACCGAACAATGGCTACGAAGTCCGTGAGAGGAGTAATCCGTACATTGACAACGTCGAGTTCAGAGATCCGAGACTGCATGACCCTCGTGATCAATTTGTTAATCGGCCAAATCAGCCGCCATATCAGCCGGTGTACAATGATCCTTCAATTTTCGTTCACGGCACTCTACCACGGATGTCTAATCGTTCGGTCCAACGAGATTATTCAAACTATTCGAACAATCATTATACGTTGCCCGCGAGACCAGGACTACGACGGGTGCGCATCAGCGAAATGGAACCTACCGTGTACGACTATGGTATGTAAATATCTTTTTAACAAAAGAAATCTTTAGCTAAAGAATTTCACAAAATCGGTCTCTAACGACCGTTGTTAAATTTTTAGCTACTATTAAGAGTTTAAATACTGTGAGAACCGTTACCTTAGAAATTTGCTTGAAAATGTGCATTATAAATATGTGCGGCGAGATGCATTCAGTAGGATCCGGGTAGAAATTCTGCAACGTAGAAAGCTACTTTGAATAGGGACTAATGTAGTTGTTAACCCGCGATATTTCACGTTCCACCTAGTTGCTAGGATCATATTTATTGCGTATTTTTACACATAAAAATCGCTATTGACTATTTAGTGATGTGATGTGAAACTTGACGAAAGAAATATTTATAAGTGAAACAACACTCTTTTGTAACTACTTAGCATCAGTCGGGCTATGCGATCGCCTCCTGTTTTTTTAATTGCTTTTGATGGGCCGAAAATCTCCACGGCCTATATTGTGTCCATAGACATCACAACTTACATCTTGAGACATGTCTAAGTTTCAGATGTACTTGAAACAGCGAATCATCTTCGGAACCGGAATGTTGATGATCGGAATGTTGGTGAACTGCATATTGACTTAAATAGGTTGGATGGTGGTATCTTCCCATGCGGGCTCATAATGCGACTTACCACCAGCACTGACGCAAATTT